TAAGACCAGGGGTCCTGGGTTCTGGTTTCCCTGATCAAATCAGGGCATGATTCTGTACCTCATTGAGTAGCTGGAAGGACAGAAGCCGCCTCTGAACTCAGATGAGCCCTGGTGGCTTTCGCCCTATGGCTATGAACGGGGGCTTAATTGGGTGAACACTCTGTACACCCAGGGATTTTGTTTACATCCGGATAGAGACATTCCCCTCCATCCATATGTCTTATTTGCTAAAATGCACACCCAGAAGCACAATCAATGTCAAAGGCCTCTGAACCAGTGTCCATGACACACCCGTACATCCGGTATGACAGTGAATCCAAAAGGGTTAAGTTGTAAGTAACGGATCAAGAAGTCCCTTTGCACAACCCAAAATGATGTCCCATAGATGCCACTGGAGCTCTGGTGGTGAGCCTTCGGCCTCTGGGCCGAATCTGGCCCTCCGGGGCTCCCCCGGAGAACCCTGCCTCCTTCCACAAGATATCCTCACCTCCCAGTTTCCATCAGAGCTTTTTGCCCAATGGTGTCTTGGTGCTGGCACTCACAGGTTCAAAGCCCTAGAGCAGCAGGAGGGACCCTGGCATCATCTGCCACCTCCCTCCGGTTTCCCTCTTCTCTCTGAGCTGAGTTGCAAACCTCAGTGCAGCTGAGAGAGGAAGGGATTCCCCCCCCCAAAAAAAACCCAGTTTATCTCTGCAAGCTACTATCTCTGGCAAAGCATTGACGTGTGCAATCAAGAGCCATTAGCTTTACAAAAGACATGCTCCTAATTTGTGAATACAGACCAATCCAATGTGGAATGATATCATAGTGAGCATCAGGATAACCTATGCCACATGCTACCAGAAAGGGGCTTTTATAAAAGGGTAGCAAGGGGAGGTAGAGAGAAGAAGAAGAGAAAAACAAATGTTTAAGAGGTCTTGGACCTTTTGCTGATCACACAAGGGCTGGAGGATGCTTTAGCCATAAAAGGGGATGGATTCTGATTCTCAGAATAATGTCCCAGTGAGAATTCTGATAGTTTCATTTCTCCAGAAACAAAACAAAACAATCCTTCACTACCACCACCACCCAAAAAATCCCAAAACCCAACATATTATTCTGGGGTTTGTAGTACTTCTGCCTCAAAAAATAAATAAATAGATAAATAAAAAGCGGTAATCTATCTCTGTGATTTCCTTCAGGAAATATTTAGCCTTCGCTCTCTCTGTGAGTCGGTTTCCTCCAGATATACAGTATTTGCTGAGTATTCTTTACTTTTTGTCTCTGGGTCACAAGAATTGGAATCGGGGTCTGTTTGGAAACCTTTTCTTGGTGCGTGCAGGTCAATTGGGTCCCTGGAGACTATGGGTGTGTGTGTTTTCTGCCCGTCCCTCGGTTCTACCTGGCTCTTTCTTGGGGCCCGATGGTGCCTTGGTCCCTTCCTGCCCTATTTCTCTCTCCTGTGCGCCTTCTTCCTCCACAAAGGG